ACTGACCCATAGCCCTAGAGGGGACAGCGCTGCAGACGGAGTGTGTGGGGACTGTACCCGGTCTGACCCCACCACACTGGGGCGAAACACTGAGGGCAAGCAGAAGAGCAAAGTGATGAAATCCCCAGGGAATACCAAAAATAGACTTTGGAGAGGGAGTGGGGAACAAGGAGAGGAAGGGGGAAAAATGAGGAGCTGATACCAAGGGCTCAAGTAGAAGGCAAATGTATTGAGCATGATGAGGGAAACAAATATACAAAAGTGTTTGACACAATGGATGTATGTGTGGATTGTGATGAGTTGTACAAGCCCCCAATAAAATGATTTAATTATTTAAAAAAAAAAAAAAGACTTTGGAGACAGAGTGTGGCACCCCATCAGACTCGACTAGAAAACATTCCTAAAGGCCAACAGACCTTGAACTATTTACAGGCTTTTCGGTTTTTGTCGGTGGCTTTCTTTCGTTATTTTGTGTGCTGGTTTTGACTTCATTGTTTTGCTTGGCTTTGCCTGGTTTTTGTGCTTATTAACGTCTCTGCATGTCTATCTAGATAAGCTAGGTGGGATAAGGAATTTGGAGATGATAAGAATGGGACAGATGGTAATAAAATTATTTAAAAAAAAGAATGGGACCGATGATTCCTGTGGGTAGTAGGGGAGGTGGGGGAAAGGAGGGCAGGGGAACCAACCCAGTGTCAAGGGAACAAGTGAACTAAAATCAATGAATCAATGGGGAGAAGGGTGTAGGATGCCTAGTGGGGCTTAATCAGGGCAATGTAGCATTACTAAATTACTAAAACAAAATGAAGGTGGAACATGATGGTGGGATAAGAGGAAAGTAAAAGGAAATAGAGGAAAGAACCAGGAGGCAAAGGACATGTATAGAGGTCTAAATACAGGTATGTAAACATGTAAATATATTTATAACGAGAATAGTTCTATGTACTTCTATCTATATGTTAAGAATTAAGGTTGCAGATGACATTGGGCCTTGACTCAAGTACTCCCTCAACATAAGAACACTTGGTTCTAATAATCCAGCATTTTGTGATGCTCACCTTCCCAACATGTTCACTAAACAGATGTGTTGAATAAAGCTGATGGTGCCCGGCTATCAGAAGATAAAGCATCTGAGGGTCTTAAGGGTTTGAAGGTAAACAAGCAGCCATCTAACAGAGAAGTAACAAAGCCCTCATGGAAGAAGCACACCAGCTTGTGTGATCATAAAGTGTCAATGGGATCAGGGATCAGGCATCTAAGACCCAGAACAAAATCATACCCAATGTGAATTGGGGGGCA